AATTAAATAACTCACAGAACCATTCAGGAGTTTTCGCATACCTAGGTGCAAAGCAGAGGCTATACCTGTCAATAGGAGACACAGAAATACCAGAAATGGCCTTCTACAATCCTCATGTGGAGTTCCTACACAGAACGCATGTTTTGTGTCAACCTCAACAAGTCAAATCGCCATTGCTCATATCTTAACCAGTGATGTATTTCTAATCCAGACTGTCGGGAAACCCACCTCCGAACTCGCGCAGGCTCTTCCTGGTTTTGGGCCTGTGGGCTGATATTTACTCCTGGGTCCTATTGAAGCATTCTGTTGATGAGTCATGTCTCATGACCAGTTTTAACTTATCAGCACACAGGGATGTGTAACTAATAGCACCATTGATTCACGCCTGCTTACTGGCTAAAGAGCCAAAGCCATGAGCTGGGTCATGATAGAGTGGGTTAGTCACTGCAGCAGTTTTATTTGCTCTGTGTCTAAAATAAATACCACCAGCTTCCAAAATGACCAGTTGAGACTACTATTTAGCACCGTTCTCTTCTAGAACTCATTCTTTTCCTCCTTATAAGTGGAAAAATTCTAAAATGTGTGGTATTGGGTGGCTATGTGTCACAAATGGCTATGTGTAAACTTTTACAGCAAAAACCATTGGAACATGCACAGCTGATGTAATCGTCTTCTCAGTTACAACTAAAGGTCACATGGGAGACAGGCTTGGGAGTGATACAGTCTATCAGGATAAACTATACATTTTTATGCTATTTATGACCAACTTCTGTCTTCTATCCTAGTGTGATCCTAGTGCTCATTGCAATTTAAATTCATGCCTTTCCAGGAGCTTTTCTTTCTGGAGGACACACTTCCTCTAACACTCTCAATTTATAGCAGGACTCTGGAATCAATAATATAAAAATTCTAGATCACCAACTGCATGCAGAGATATGTTCCATTTGGTTGTCTACACAAAGATCTATTAAATACTTAAATAGAGGCATACTAATTAACACTCACTACAGCAGACTCTATATGAATATATATTCAATGCTTAAATCTACAATGATAATGTCAACATATTTTAGGCATGCTCCTCTGCAGAATCGATGCCTTTCCTAAGCCATCTCTTCCCCAAATAGCCCAGGAGAGGCTCCTTGGCTCCAGTGGTCTCTCCTTGCTTTTGCACCTCCCTCCCCCATGGCTGGGGCTCAGAGCTCTTCTCCATTTGCCCAGCTCCCTCGGCTGCACTGGGGGCTCTCCATGTTCACTGATTTCTTCTTGGACATGAATCGTGGCTCACTTGCTTTCTCTCCTTTGGGTTCCATGATCAGGAAGGTAATTTTTGTCTCCCCTGGAACCTCACTGAAAGATCTGGATGACAGGGCAGTCAGCAGAGTGAAGGGGACAGCCCACCAGGCTCTCCTCCCTTCATCACTTTCCTTGGTGACAGTTCTATAGTTTAGAGAAAGGGAGAAGAATGAAGGGAAGGGGAGGGGAGGGGAGGTAAAGAGAGGAGGGAAGAGGTAGGGGAGGGGAAGGAGAGAGCGAGAGAGCGAGCACTCCCATTCACTGGTTCACTTCCCCAAAGCCTGTAAGAGCTGGGCCTGTGCCAGGGGCCAGGCCAGAGCTGGGGGCTGGGCCCTCAATTCAGGTTTCCCGAGTGGGTGGCAAGGACCCACCGGCTTGAGTCACTGCCAAGGCCTCCCAGGGTAATTAGATTTGGGAATGGAGCCAGGCTGAAAACTGGCCACGCTGCTTTGGGATGTAGCTTTCCCACTCAGTGTCCTAACCACTAACAAAACATCCTCCCATAGGCATTTATGTATTTTCTTACAAGACAAATAACTTTCTTTATTTTAAACTATCTATACTAGCATGCATATCCTCTCAAATATTTCCCTGATAAATTTAACCTCAGCACAAATCATGACTGAAAATTCTTACGGAGTGGGAAATTCTAGCATTTTGACATTTTGATCTTTTCTACATTTTAACTTGCAGCTCTAACTTATTTTGTACCTGCAGAGCACAAGTATTATAGCAACAAACATAATTTAAAAATTTTTAAATTTATTTTAATTTGAAAGATTTATGGAGACAAGGAGAGACAGAGGAGAAAGCTCTCTCATTTGCTGGTTCACTTCCCAAATGACTGCAATGGCCAGAGCTGAGCCGATCTGAAGCCTGGAGCCAGGAGCTTCTTCTAGGTCTTCCATGCAGGGGCCCAAAGCTTTGAGTCTCACCCACTGCTTTCTCAGGCCACAAGCAGGGAGCTGGATGTGAACTGGAGCATCCAGAACACAAACCAGTGCCCATACAGGATCCTAGCACTATAAGGTGAGTCATCAGCTGGGTCCTAGTCCTTTGAGCCACATGGTTGGCCCTAAATGAGCATATTTTCATCATGTTGGGATGGGGCAGGGCTTCAGTAAGAGGCAGGTGGAATTCCGAATTGGTGCCAAGGAAGACAGCAGTGGGAGAGTTGTCTGCAGATTCTGTGCATCCTAGTCCACGTTCCCACTTCACTGCCCTACTGCACTCCTCTTCTCTTTCCCTGGAATGGCTTCTTCTCTAGCTCTAGTCCAAAACATGAGATTTCCAGGAATGCAGGGGAATGGATGAGAAAGAAAACGGACACGTCTCTGGCCACTTTTTTCCTGTACGTACTTCTGCTACTGTACTCACATTGCTTGTTTCCTAAGGAAGAGCCACCAAGGACTCATGACCCCCAGTGCAGTCCTGGATGTTCTTTGTCTTTCCTCCTCCCCTAAGGGAAGTAACTGCCAGTCTTGCATCTGACACAGAACCCCAGGATGAAACCTCCAGGGAGCACACTGGATTTCTTTGCTGGGAGAGCAGAGCCCCGTTGCACAGGACAGACATGAACGCATACACACACCCTACCTGCTGCCTCCTATTCTGAAAGACAACACACTCACTTCTTGTATTAATTATCTACATTCACCCAGGACTCTAAATTCTCCCCTTCTGAAGTCACGTAGGACAGCAGATTGTTTGAACTACGTGCCTTCTTGCTTTGGAGTATGCCCAAGATGTCCCCTGAGCCCAGGGTGCAGGCAGGCCACAGTTGTTCCCATGTGTTGGGGGCCTGCATACATCTAGATTCACACCGCTGTTGGTTTGTGACTCACCTGTGGGACAGTTAGGCAGGTGGCCTCTGCTGACCGTGCTACGTAAATCACACAGCTGAGGCTATTCTCATTTTAGCTAACACTACGCTATCTTCCCATGAAAGCATAATGTTGGGCATTTCAGTTGGTTCTATTAAACTGAAAGCCAAAAGGGAAATCATGTAGGCACCTGCAGTCCAGGATCCCCAGAGATGCCAGCACTTCTATTCCTGCATCAGTGGCACAACTCATAAGATCCTGCAGGCACATAGCAACACTATCAGACATGGTGCCACCTTGTAACCATCCCACAGATAATATGCTGTCCTGAGAAATATTCAACCGCACCACCTTGAAAACCACAACGACAGTGAGACCGAAACCAAGCACTCCCAAAGAGGAACACCAGGCACAACGTCCTGGTAACAGTAGCTGGCTTCCACTGGCACCACATCCCCTGGTCTGCAGGAGGTAAATGATTAAATAATGCTTTCTGTTTTTCTGGCATGCCTTTTTGTTCCCACTCCATCACATCAAAGTTTTACATCTTGGTGGATTTTTCTCTTAACGTCCTGGAACCAGGCAGATTGCAATACTGCGGCCCATCTTTGGAAACGAGAGCCCAGCTGATGGTGTGTGCTGTATTTCAAATATTCTACAAGTTCAGAGCCAACGTGTCTCCTCCATGTGTGTCGTCCACTGGGCTGTGATGGAGGAGACTGCGGTAGACTAGTGTTCCAAGTTTATTCTTAAAAGGAGAAATGCCTGCAATGAGCCTTGAACCGATGGTTGTCCAAGAAAGTCATTGCAACACAGAGATCTGGGGGAAGGGCAGGGGGACTCCCTGGCTGTTTTCATTGGGTGGCAAATATTCCAAATAATCTAGAAAGCCCAAACTCCTGCCTACAGTGTGGGGGAGGGGTGACTGAGCTGCTTTCACAGCTGAAATAGATTTTTTTCTCATCTAATCCACACCATTGCACCTGTTGGCTCTCTCAATGATGGGTGACAATCCAACTGGCTTTCCTGATAATTTATTCCACTTTTCTTCTAGGTCAGCAAAGTCACTTTCTCTGAGCTTGTTTGTTTCCTGGAGGAATCGCCAAACCTATTCCTGACTGGTTCCTATGGCTCCTGATGCAAACTCTTTTGATTATTTATTTATGAGTGTGATGTTGCTTTCTCAGGCGTAAGAGCAGAATGAAATATTGAAAGCACTCTATGACACAGGTCTGCAGTAAAGCAACATGAATTTACATGCAAAAAGAACAGATGTGAAAGACCACTAAGACAGTAATCAAGATAAGTCAGTTTACGAGCACTGCCAGTAAGCTCTGCGTGAAAAAAAGTAATAATTCATGCAACCGGCAAGCTAATTTATATTAATTAGTCATCCTAATTACATGGTGGTGACTTGTCATCACGGCCAGGCAGTCAGTTCTCTCAGGAGAAAGGGATTTGTCTCTTCCTCTCATTCCCACTTTGAAAACCAAACCAAAACAAGAACACAAGCACACTGCACCTCTATTTCTGAAGCCCTCCCAACCAGCTTGTCTCGGTAATAACAGATTCACTGTTCAAACACCGACTGCTAACTCAGTGCGGGCACCCCGCTGGCAACCTGCTGCTTTCCTTGCATCCAGCAGCAGAGAACTTCTTGTGTATAAAATCAACATTTACAAGACCAAAGGGGAAAAAACATCTCTAAGGGAGTATGCGATTTGCACTATTTCCAGAGCAGGCAAGCATGCAAGAATCTTTAGGAGAATTTGGCACTCAAATTTTTTCCGGTGTATTTTTAAAGGTCTTTGATAACTGCAACACACCTGGTTCAAACGGTTTCATTATGCTTTAACTAGAAGAATCTGGAAAGGCACTGACCTTTATGTGACAAACGCAGCCGGGGGTACGCGGTATCTGCCGTGTGGCCGCCGGTCCACAGTCCCAGCAGGTGACCCGTGAGGAGACAGGCGAGGATGCGCGCAGCCCGGGCCATTGCCGCCCGGCGCGCCAGCCGAGCCGAGACGCTCGGCCGGGCAGGTGCGAGCTTTCCCCTTCTCCGGACTAGGCTGCGGGCGTCGCGGCGGGAGGCTGGGTCACCAGAAGGCTCGGTTCCTAAGTGCCACTGGCTAGGCTGCTTGGATGCAGAGAAGCGCTCCCGCCTCGGGACAGTTGTTGATCCGTCGGGAGCAGAAGGACTTTCCCAGGAGGGGCAACCACAGGATCCGCGTCCTGTGCTGGCTGGCCCTGGAAGAAGCCGAGCGTTCCAGCCGCCGGGACCAGAAGCCCCCCGCGCGCGTGCGCCCGTGCGCTCGCACCGCCCTCCCGGGGCTCTGGAACCGGCTCCTGCACCGACTTGCCCGCCAGCGAGTTCCCAGTCACCTTTTCCCCGCCGCGCTTCGCTAATTAAAAGCGAGCTGAGCAGTTCTCTGTGGAGCTGCGGTCCCCGGCAGGGCGCCGTCTGTCAGCGCCCGGCAGCACCGCGAAGTTCAGGCGGGGTGGAGCGCTCCTCGCCTCCCGGAGGCGCGGCGGTCCACGTGCCGCGCTTGCAGCCTCCGCCCGCCCGGCCGCGCCCGCCCCACCTTGCAGGGCGGGGACGCCCGGGCCGCGCCGAGGAAGGTGCCGCGGGGCGCGGGGCGGCGCCACGGAGGGTGTAGCGATGGCCGCCCCGCAGGCTGGCTCCTTGGAGACAGACAACTTGGTTTCCAAAATGTGGTCATCTATTTCCAATCCCGCGGGCCCAAGTGGGGGCTTTTCACTGCGCCCCTGCCGCTCGCCCTCCCCACCACCGCGAGCCGGGCTGGCTGTGCCGCCCGCAGCGTTCTTTTCAGCTTTGGAAGGGGGACGGGGTCGTCGTGGGTAGAGTGCTTCTAGGGCCCCTTGCACACAACTGTCGCGGCCCCGATTGCGCATCTCCTGGACGCGCCAGCACGAAACGGTTGGCTCAGGTCACCAGTTTACTTAGGTATAGTTAAATTTCGGGGGATGGTTGTCCCCTAGGCGGGAACATGGGGTGTGTCATGTCCTAGCTGGCAGCTCTCCCCCACCCCCCGTGTGTTTGTGTCAACATGCTTAACCCCTTCAGCTTTCCGTTCCATCTCAAACGCCAAGCCAAACATTCCGGAGCTGTTGGCGTGAATGGTGTTATCCTAAGATAGCCAGAAACCCTGATGGATGTTCTCACTTGGTAGTTGAGGGTTTATTGGTAAACACGTGAGAGCGATTCCGGCGTTTCAGTTGGTGATGGCTCAGGACGCTTTCTGAGAATCCCATGGCAAAGACAGAAAGTAAGTCACCCCTGTAGTTTGCATTTTATGTATCATCGAATGTACTTGCATGCTTTAGTCATTTTTCTCAGTATGATACATTCCTGTTCAGCACAGTGTATTATGAGATGTGAATGTCGCTGGATACTACACTTAAGTCGATAGCAAACTCTAAACACTATTAAACAGCCAAACAGCATCGAGTACTTAGGGACTTTCACCCTGGGGTGGTCTCTGTGGTAAGGTGCATGTTTTAAAAAGCCAACCCACCGAGGGGCAGGAGAGTGTGAAGTACTGTCCCTGCAGAGCCTCTCACATGCACTGCACAGGGAGAGTGTACACGGCAACATGACATGGGTGATCTTGAAGCGGCTTTCAGGAACGATGAGGGCTGCTTATCCCCGCGGTTACAAATAGTTCTTGCATAAACTGAAACTCCACAGAAGAGTGTGCTGCGCCTGGCCTGGCTCTATGGCACATCTGAGCAACACGAGGCTACACCGCTTGGCAGGATTAAAAGTCAATGTTGGGACCAATGCTATAAATGTAACAACTGCGGTTTCATGTGTCAGCCTGCGGAGTACAGTCATGCTATTTGGAAAGACAGGCCAGTGTAACGTGCTTTGATGACTGGTCAGTCATCAGGGTCAGCCCCTTGAACTTCTCTATCCTGTAGGAAACTCAGGATGATGCCGAAAAATGACTACTCAGAAAACCAAGCGTCCAGAATTATTCTCTGTGTGGCTTTTGTGACTCATGTAGGAATAAAGAGTCTTTGAGACCAAATTCATCATTCATATCATGAAACAAGAGAAATCTCAGGACCAGGGCATCATGCAACATATCACCCATATTTATGGGTAAAATCAAAATTAATCATCATCAATTAATTCCAGGCTGGCCAAGATCTTGTGGACGAATCACATCAGCCATGGAAATGACATGACTCTGCAGACAAAGTCTTGGGAAACGTGTAACTGGGAATGAAGCACAAACCTGACTTCCAGCAACACTGAGTGCAGTTGTAGCCAGCTGAAAGCCCTGCACTTGGAACCCACATCCAGGGACATCGCAGTCATTGATTTGGGAGGAGCCAGCCTGGAAAACTTGGTGGGATGAGGAATGGCAATCCTGGAGGCATTGCTTGCCATGTGCAGGGTCTCCTTCCAAAATCTTTCGCCTTTGCCAGTCTTACACTCTTGTAAGAAGAGCATCTGAAACAGCCATGAGTATTCACCAGGTGCTGGTTGCTCGCACATTGCAGGTTCTGTCACTGGTTCCTGATGGTAACACAAGAGCAACTACCTTTAGAGCGATCCTATTACGGGTTGGTCCATGACTACCTGCTAATAAATCCTGGCACTGGTTGAGAGGGGATTCCTGTACTTCACCTGCTTTTCTCCATTTGCCTAAAAACTTACATGCTAAATTTTGAGTTTGGTGGAGATTCATTTGGATACTGTTATCCAGACATTAGACATCTGTTTGCAACATTCATTTTTAGTTATGTAGCGTTGTACCTGCAGTGAAGAGTCCAACTTAAATTAACATAACATTTACATGACTTCACAGGCCTGATGCAGTGCTGAGTTTTCAAGTATGTGTGAAACCAAACAGAAATTGTGAAAGCTTCTCCCTCACCACTTCAAACAGACCTGCTAAACTCAGTATTTGCCAACACCTTCAACAGCATCCCTGAGAATATGGGAGACTCCACTTCCCAGGCCTTGGGCAGTTAGGTGAAGCTTTTTGACCAAGTCTGGCCAAAGCAACATGAGCAGAAGTGACATATATCCCGTTTGGACTGAGACAGTGAGATATACACTTGTAAGAAATGCTTCTGTCTTTCCCAGGCCCTTCCTGTAGGCAAGCAGGAGGATTCATGTTGAAATGATGGGGTCACAATACAAAAGAACCTTGGGTTCTTGTGCAGGGACAATTATTCTAGAAAATAGAACAGAGTTGCAGCAGATGTCCTAGGAGCAGGAAGCAGACCCTTTATATTAAACTGTTTTATTTATTTCTACCACAACAAACATAGCCTCCTCCTTCCTACACCTATACACACATACACTTTACCCACTTGCTATGTTCTTGGGCGTGTGGTTGGCAGCATCATTGTACCTGCAGTAGGGAGGGATGCCCTCCTGCCTGTCACTAAAGCTGAAATTGTGAAGGTCTTGTAAGAGATGGAGTAGGGAGTTGAAATTCTCTTAACTCTTCCAACTGAGCATGCGGCGCAAAATGACATAATCAAAGCTGTTTATAGGTTCATGAGCTAGAACTCTATCACAAAATCTTGTAATTGAAACCATTTGTGGGCCAGAGCATTGCAGGAGCAGTGCTGGTAGACCCTGGAGAACCAAAGGGACCCTTTCTATGCAGGAGTCATGGCATCAGGCGTCCCAGATCCTGCATGTATGCCCTCCGGCCCTGCTGGGTTGATGGTCCCCCACTGGGAGCACGGGCATGGATCCCGTCAGGGTGGGCAGCTGTGGCTGCTGCCAGGGTTCATGGCCAAGACTGCGGCTGCTTTTCTTGGTTATGCTCCTTGGATGTGTGGCATCAGGGGATTTCTGAGAAGTGGCTGCTGGGCTGTTTCTCCCACCCAGAGATTCAAGCAGCTGAGGACACTTGGATGACGAGCCTCCTCCTGGTGCTGAGCTACTGAGACGGCCCTAGGGCATGGTTTCCCTCCCGTGGATATGTGCCAGGATCTGGTCTGCTCACCTGCCTTGAAAGAACTGACAGGTGCCATTCTCATGTCATCATTTGTATAGCTAACAGTTTAGGAAACTAAACTTTTCCCCCCTAGTTTGACCACCAACTCTAAAAACAAACAGAAATAAATGCACAAACTTCCCCCCACAACCCTACACATAAAGCACTGCTCATAAAATGTGAGTAAAAAAAAAATTTTTTTAACTTTCAATTTTTGGTTTCTGGCTGATATTATGTTTATTCTCTTGTTCCTATAGGTCCCTGATAATGAAAAGAGAAGTGGAGCAGCATTTTGAACCAAGGAACTAGGTTTTTCTATTTTTTAAAGTTAATTTGTTTTTGAGAGAGTTACTCAAAAGGAAGAGACAAAGAAAAGAGAGATCTTCAATATGCTGGTTGACTCAGTGGCCTGTGTTGAAGCCAGGAACTTCACCTGGGTCTCCCTTGGGTCTGCAGGAGCCCAGGCACTCGGGTCCTCTTCCGCTGCTTTCTGTGGCACATTAGCAGGGAGCTGGGTTGGAAGTAGAGAATCCAGGACTCGAACCAGTGTCCCTATGGAAATACATGTGGTGGTTTTAATAGACTGATCTCCCATGGCAATGTGAAATAGTTACATGAGCCATTCATCCTGAAAATACCTGAACTTGTAGACCCCGGGAGAGTTCTTCATACCTTTCTCTATGGTTATGGAGAATTCCTTTAAACAGGCAGAGCTCCAAATTTCAAATGTAACAGACAGTTCCCCAGTATAACTGCTTCCTCTCATGTGTTTGGTGACTTACATTGGTGAGTGCAGTTGGTACTGATGGTGAACTCTTTGTAATCCATTTCTAGTGCTTCCTAATGCCTAGCACTGCACTTCAAGCCAATTTTACTTTCATGGGATAAAAAAAAATTTCATGGTTACTGTTTTTTGAGTAGTTTTATTTTTTTAATCTGCAAGACACTAGGTGAGTTTGTCCATCTATAATCCAGTAAGACCCAGAAAGCACCAGTGTGTCAGAGCTGC